GCGGGCAGCAGCAGTTCGGAGGGAACACACGGCAGGAACGATGCTGTTAGGGTGGAACAGACCTACTGCTGGGGTGTCCGTCCTTCCCCAAACTACGGGATTCAGAACCCGGTCCTGCATTTAACATGGAGAGGCTGATTTTACCACAAGATGGCGTCCTTTCACCCAGACACCCTTATGGGATGAAGACGTAATACATTAGCATATATTACGGAGGAGTTACTTCCTATGAACAAAGTCTTTTTCTTATTTTATTTATTTATTTAAAATTGGAATCATTTAATGGTTAATGCGGAAACAGGGCCGAATTTTATAATTACATGGGCCCAAAGTCTTCCCACACCCCACCGATACAGTGGGAACCACTGATCTAGGACAGTGGTCTCCATTGTGTAAAGTGTTGTCTTTAATAGTCGAATTGAATATTATGCCAACAGCAAAACATTTACTCAAATTATATTAGATTTCTTTAGGAATAGAATAGTAGGATAATAGTCTTTTAAAAAGTGATAATATTGATTTACTTATGACTCCCTGACAACAGTAATTAGGTACACTACTAGTTAGATTACTTTTCTGCTACTCCCCACAAAATTGCTAATTGTGTCCCTTCTCCCCAAAATTCAGACTTAAATCCAGTTTTTCTTTATAATCAGTAATGGAATATTCCAAACTAGTTTCCTACATGATTACAAAAATGAATTTAAGTAGGCCTATGCGACTGAATTGTTGGATTTCAAATCACTAGGGGTGACAACAAAAGTAACGTTGTAACTAATTATATTATATTATTATTGTATTATAATATTATTACTGAAATGTAGTTACACTACAAGTTACTGGGTAAGGTGATATTATTACTGTAATATTATTACTAGTAATGCCTCACTGCCCAACACTGATGGAGATCCACCATTATGGATACTGTTTGATAATTAATCTGATTATCTGGTGAGAGAAAGAAGAGATTAGAGGACAGAAAAGCAAAGAACACATGGTAAATGGACCTGTATTTGTATAACGCCTTTCTAGTCTTCCGACCACTCAAAGCGTGCCACATTCACCCTTTCACACACATTCACTTCAATTCGAGGTTGCTCAAGGATACTAATTTACATGTCGTCAGCCGGGGATCAAACCAACAACCTTCCGATTAGGGGACGACCCGCTCTGCCTCTGCGCCACAGCTGCTTACACATCCAAACAGAGTGGAGATGTGGGGTATGGTAGCATGTCTGTGAGGAGGCAGTAGTAGTGAAGTGATGCAGTCATTATGTCCCACAGCATCTGGCTTTGGTTGCATGGAGGTGACAATGACACAGACGCACTGACATCACATGATGATGCTGAGAGGTTATATATGGACAAAGCCATAAGGACTTAAATATCAGATTTTGGTACTTTTCTCTCTAATTTTAGAGAAAGACATAGCAGCCATTTTGAAATAAAATATAATAGTATAGGTAAGGTAAACAGAGTGCTGCTATTGTGCATGTTGGCTCACTGGAAAGGCTCTGCAACACTAAATGGAACAGAAGCCTAATTAGTATGACTGGTATAATAAACTGCAAGTTCAAATAAAGTTTAATTTATATTATTTTACAGAAATCATCATCTTATAGTTAAAGTGTTCACTGCACCTACAATTAACATCACTGTGAATGCATTTATCAACCATAGCAGCAAGAAATCTGATCATTAATAGGCTGTATGCATGTAAATTAAGAATTTTGCTAGTAGCTCTGGAAAAAATAGACGTCAGTTTGCATCTGGTAAACCAGTTTCGAAGTGTTTATCATTACAGTTTATCCTACCAACCGTCAAGATTCAAACAAAATACACACCTCAGTTTATGTATTCAATCTGAGTGAGGGGCTAAAATACAAACATTTCCAGGACAATAGAGATTACTTCCTGAATATTTGGTCATTTAAATCAATTTCCAAGTGTTTGCATGACTGGAAAACTAGTCTTTAAATTTCCAGCTTTTCCAGCACACGTGGGAACCCTAGATGACAAGTTTTTTAAGGTCAAGAATGAAGGTAATGTTTGTTGACTTGAGAAAAGACGAAGTTCATGTAATGTTTATGTTGCCACACCTGCATGTCAGATAAAAAAACATTGTGGCAGCAGTGCATTCTGGTTTATTGAGGGTAATGGCAATTTAAAAATAAAAGAAATGCTGAAAACTCCATGTAATTCTTTCACAAAAGAAGAAGCTCTCAATTCCCAAGTACAGTGGTGTGAAAAAGTG